AAAGATACAAGCAAATTTTTGTCAGGAGTATTTATATATTCTTAAGATTTACATTGTATTAAAGAGAAAGTTAAAACATTTGTTCTGAGAATACATAACTGATAAAAAGTTAGTGTTGACCTTGTCCCAAAAAATTTCACTAACCCTCCCAGGAGTTCTGTTATTTTAAAGTCATGCTTTCAACAGTTTTAACTCAAAGCTTAATACTCCTTTAAGAGATGTATGCAATCTTGAATAAACACATCAACACCTCTGGATTACGCCCACAAGGAGTAATGTGAAGCACTAAGCATTTGAGAAGGACTGTAGAAACACCCCTCTGCTCCAGAGAAATATGCCACGGCATCTAAGAATGCCCAAAGAAAATAAGTTCAGAACATCTTAAGATGCACTGCCATCAAATGCAACTAACTCTAAATTAAGTGTCTGGTAACATTAATTCCTGTCTTGCAACTGTTTCTCCATAATAAAGCCATAATTTTCAGCTGAAAAGATTATGTAGATGCAGGCACGCTTCTTAAGTGTTCAATAAGTACTATCTCTTAAAACCTTTGGTGTTAGATCCTGCACTACTGTGAGTCAGCATAATCAGACACTTCAGTGGAGTTACCCACCAAGTGACTTCAAACAAGGAGATGCAGTTGTTCAAAAGAATGCAGTGTTCAACTAAGTAACACTTAGAATGTTACTTACTTACTTTAATTTAGTTCTTAGTAAAAAGCTGCCAGTCCTTCAGACTACATTTCTAGGCACAACAAAAGGAGAGAGAAATACAGAATACTCTATGTAACCCACTCCAATTTAAAGACTGTAAGAGTTGTTCAGTCGTTATTGCCACGACTGCCAACAAATAAGCCTAGTATTAAATTATTTTTACATATGGCACAAATTTCCTGCAAGCCTTGGGTAAAGACTTATCATTCATTTTGGTTGTGTTTGCCACCAGTCTGCTCCACACACACCAATAACGCAAATATACCGATCTGTTATCTGCATGGGAAACAGCTTTCTCTTCCCAGAGACTATTTGAGGAAATTGAGACTTTTGACAATTTTCATGGAAGTGTGGAGGGAGGGAACCATACAAGTCCACACACGCCACTTTGGTCAAGAAAGTCACCTCTTCAAAGAACTCCGAAAGTAGTCCTCCAGTCTCTGCATTATAAGGGTTTTGATGTTGATCAAGTCACACAGTTTAATGGCTTTATTTTTAATACTCTCTTCGTTCTAACATATATTTACTAACTTTCCTTAAGAATGTCAGTGCCATTAGATGCTGATCACTGCTTAACATAAAAAACATGTTTGAATTAAAAGCCACTTACCAATTTTGCAATGTCATTCACATCATCTGTCACTGGATTCCCGCAGGAACTCTGGGCTTTGACAAGAGGATGAAGCAGGAGTAGTTGAAGACAAAAGCAAGTGATAATCCAAGTCTGTATTTATAAAAAACAAACAAATAAAAACTAGTAAGCAATTTCCAAAAAAGAAGTATGAGAGACTGTAGTAATGTTTTTCATATATGAAGTCTAGAAGCAACGATACTCTTTCATCAGCACAATTTTATTGCCATAGTATAATCTTCACAGCAGGCATCCAAGCAAATGCACTTAACTGATCTTTTCTGGAAGAAAGCACCTTTAGGATAATAATGAAAAACCTGGTATTGAGCCATCAGACCATTTGTGCAGAATCCTGCTGCACTCAATTGTCTAGGTACATTTCTTCCAAGTTTAGGAGCACCAAGTAAGGGAAAGAATCAAACTTCACAATATTGTTCATTATCAGCAACAGCTAACTAAATGCTCACCACTCATCTGGTAAGGTAGCTGATAAACCTCTGCTTCGTATGCTATAATGAATGATAAGGAACAAAGTGATACTAGACCACAGCAAGATAAAAAGGAGAAAGTTCATAATCACAGCCATTACAGTTGGGTATTTCAACTGCAAGGAGAACCACAACTGGCCTCTGCCCAAACACCGAGATCTCAAGCATCAATATAATACATTTTCGCTAAGTGACATGCCTTGGCCTATCAGAAGCAGTAGCTCAGCTTTGACACTTCATGCCCTTCCTAAGACCTATTGTGAACAGCAATGCAATGCACTGACATAGGCTTCTGAGATTCAGCAGAAAAAACACCAGATAACTCGTTCAGATGCATCTCCTGGCCATCTCCTCTGCTATGCTGCCTGAACTTCCTAGCCGTCTGTTCCCTGAGCCCTGCTGTGTTCTCATAGAGCCCTGTGCCAAGTCTAAGCTATGTATCTCTATTTCCAGAATGTTAAAACATTTAAGTTATGGATAATCAAAAGTTGCCTCGGGCTCTGAAGCTCCTTGTGCCAGCTGAATGAAGTTGTCAGCAAAAGGCAATGACGGTGTACATTTATTGCAAGCATGGAATTTGCCTGTGCAGGCTTCGTGAGAGCAGGCCCAGGACTAGAATTTGCTTTTGCAGGAACTAAGACGAATCCCAAGCCTTCCTCTTCTCTGAGGTAGGCAGCAACTCACTTCTTTGGCCTTGGCTTCAAATAGTACATATATAACCCTTCAATTTAAAACTAAACTAAATCAAGTAACATACATGAAGCTCTCTAGCAAAGCGGAGGGAGAAAATCACAGATTCAAAAGATTAAGTACTTGCTTATTTATCTACTGCTGCTAAGAAAGCGTGATGAGAAAGATCATTTGGGCACTATCTAAACATGACAGAACAGTGACAGGCACTTTACCAAGAACTGCTAAAAGATACGTGAATCTCCTTCTTTTATCTTACATCTCTTATATTTTTAAATATTTTATATTCCAAGTAAAACTGGCCATTTGCTTTTTCAGAATACAGCTTCCTGACTGATTTAGGCCAAACTTCAGTATGGGCTGCTGCTAGAAAAGACTATCCACCCTCCTGCCCTTCCCCTCTCTTGCACTCACCCTGGTGAGATGGCTTAGCTAGCTGTATCAGGCAGTCAGTCCACCTGCTTTTATTTTTGTTTTTCTGTGCTATTTTTCAAGTAGATGCGTTCTCTGAACTATGAAAACAGAAGCGCCAGTACCCATGCATGGAAACAGCAGAAATGGCCAGCTAAGAATGGGAAAAGCCAGGACTTTTACCGGAACTGGCACTTAGCTTGGCCTAAACCATTTAGGAAACTACAACTTCAGACACCACAGAATCATGATGGCGAGCAGACTTACAAGCAAAAATGCTGAAAATATTCTAAGCAAAACAAACATTCAGTATACAGTACGTCTTTTGAGAATGCCTATTGCTTCAACATAACTAGCATTTAGAAATACTTTTAATCTAGTATCTATTCAAATAATTATTGACAGAGTATAGCTGAAGTAATGTGAAGTTAAGGACTCATTTCTTTACTCAGTTGCTCAACATTTTGCAACATGTAAAAGAAGATGAGGTTTGTTCAGTGACTTGTGTCAGTATCACAGGACAAAATTTGACCTAATCTGTCTAATAGTCAAAAAAGTAACAGAGCACTTTCATTGGAAAGACCTTCTGCCAGATCAACTAAGTAATATCAATAAAAGCAGCAGCATATAGTAGACAAAATGAGAACTCTGATGATGATGACACTCTTGTCAGTATTCATGATTCTCAAAGTCATCTAAAAATACACTCCATACATGAAGTTTAAAATTATTACACATTTTATAATTATGCAAATCAATCAGAATACAAGACTTTTTGTCCTATGTAAATAGAATTAAAAGCATAGTTATTTTAATAACTGCTATTAAAAACAAATGCTTTGTAAATTTTGAGATGATTTGAGGTTTTTCTTGTGTATTTGTTCCCTAAGTCATCCAGCAGGAATTTTTGCAGGAATTACAAACCTGCAAAATACTGCTAGTTTCAACATGTCTCTTATCCAAAATCTTATAATTATTTGCACCTGCAAAATATTTATATTGCACATGCCTACCAGCATATTGTATGTAAGGACCGTTTAGATCAAAGAGCTAAGCTATTTTTCTGCTATTCACTAATGACCAAACCTGCTGTTTGAGCAAAATTTGAATAGATTGAATTAAATCAAGGATGGAATAAAAGGGAAGTTTAAACAACAGCTTTATAAATAGAGATTCCAGTACTGCACTTTATTACATAAATGAAAGTTACCAACACAGCACTCCTAACAGATTTCCATATATAATTACTTCCCAAGCTAAAATGGGACTTTCAAAGCTGGCCACAGGATTTAATCACACATCATCTACCAACATTAAATTTAAGATATATGGCAGACAGGAGGCACCTGTATACCAAATGGCCTCTTCTTATTTTTGGCTCAAAAATTAGAACCACTCAATTGTTTTTGTATTTTGAAATCTCTTAAATACTTAATATTTAAGTTGCTTTTGTGAAAAGGGAAAAAAAACTTTAACAATTATACTAAAAAGGATAATTTGAATTAAAGATTTAATATACACTTCTGATCATTTTACAAGTAATTTATATTATTGCCTATATGCTCCAATTTATCATCTCAACTAGGAGCTTTTATAGGCTTAGCTACAGATCCGAACTGTTGGAGACCATGTTTTTAGCAGCTGTAAATTAAGAGATGTTCATTTATGATCCAGAATGTAGACAAAGGCTGGTGAAAGACTGCTCCAGCATCTTTTCCACAGTGTGATATGAAAGGTACACAGCTACGCTTGTTAATGATCAGCTAATTCCTTAAGTCAAAAGCAGCAAGGGGAATACCGCATTGCTAAATAAGCAGTGTTGGAAAGTCTAGACATTTCCAAACCTCCAGTTTGTACTGATAACAACTCTAATCATAACTATGGAGAAATCATCAACAATAAATGCAAACAATAAAATCCGAGCACTAGGGAGAGACAGTAGCTACAGAGATAAACAAGCTCCTCATTATACAATTTCTTGCATTTGTATCAGGCTAGCCATGGACATTTTAACTACGGTTTCTTGAGTAAATCATATCCAGTGAAACACAAATAAGTCACAGCTGCAGTAGGGTTAGCTGACAACATGGAACAGAATTCACCCTGGGCCAGGCTTCCAAAAATTATTTTTTACTTCTCCTAACGCTGGGACAGGAACATCTCGCAATATTGCCTCCTCAGGCAATGTTTACATACTACTTTGCTGAGGCACAGTTTGTGAACTTCCGCCATGGACAACACTGGCTGGTCAGCCATGGATAACCAACTTTATTTTCATAATTCTGTAATAAAAGCCCAAGAGAAAATGAAAATAGCAGGAAAAGATCTTTCTTGCCCTTTTTCTGCCACCGAGTGTCATCCAGAAGCATACAAGCACAATAATTATTTCATGTGCCTACTAATCTACTTAGTTATTTAAGCTAAGACAGAGATGATTAAAGTCACAGAAGAATTGTCTTTAACCAATTAAGAATTTACAGTCAGCCTGGAAAAATCTTAAAGTGAAAGATGAACACTTATATAGCACATAATCCACTTCCCATTCTCATGGTATTGGGCAATACCTTCCTCCATGCCACTAACGTTAGCACTCTAAATGGGTGTGCCTAAACATTGCTTAAATGATAAATGTTGCTTAAATCCCAAAAGAGTGTGGTAGGGGTGAAAAAAAAAGTCACTCACCCGTGCCTGCCTAGTCTGGAAGCACTGAATTATTTTGGCAACTATATCTTGAACAGGAAAGTTCCCTACATGTTTTCTGGTACCCAGGAGGCAACTCCAGTGTAGTTAGAGGAACCACTGCACAAACTCTGAATAATGCTTAGCTGAAGCATTAAGTCCACCGTGCATCCATCACCACCCTTCAAAAGCATGGTACCAGTCTCATCCAAAATAGTAGCCTCCTGTCCAGGCTGCTCACTAACAAGAGACAGACCTAGGTTAAATTTCCTCTTACCAAGGTAATTTCAACTCGTAGGAGCTGGGATCTGTTCCTATGGTAATTATCTCACAACTACACTAAGAGGTAATTCCCCACCTATGTCAGCTTCCTAGTCAGAAGGGGCAAAACAGCAGAATTCCCGTTTCTTATTCTAAAGAATGCTCGTGCATTTTATACTGGTAAGCTATCACTAGAAAAAGAAACGTTCATTACACAGGCATCAGAACTGTTATGTGTATGCTAGTCTTGCACATGCTCCTCCATCTGGGTACCCTAACTTTTGGGAACCTCCCCAGACGACATGTGGGTTTTCTTGAACAACCTTTTGGCAGTTCATTGACCAAAAAAGTCTAACTCCAGCTAAATGAAACACCCTGCTGGGGTGAGATACCTAAGCATCCCTGGATCACACCTTAAATGCTTTGTTATGATTACAAAAAGTAGATGCATGCTTCCCTAGTGACTGATATTATTTTTGATTTATTTAACAATGAATGATGTGCAGTAGGGAAAATGATGATAAAAGGAATCGCAATTCATCAGGATGTAGTGCGCTTTTTTCG